CTGGCTCGACTTGGAGGGCTGATGCTGAGGCGGCGTGCGACCGCTCCCACGCAACTGCGGCGGCGAGGGCCTCGGTTACGGTGACCTTCTCCCTCTCCATCAGCTTCCGTCGGAGCTTCTCCTCTCGCAAGCCCACGACGAAATGGTCCCGGAGGGCGTCTTCTAGGTGTGCTCCGAAGTTGCAGTCGGATGCGAGCTGGCGCAACTCCGCGAGGAACTCCCCGGCGGTCTCTCTGGCCAGCTGATTGCGGGTGTAGAATGTTACCCTACAAGTCAGCTCGGTGGGTTTTGGTGCGAAGTGGCCTTGCACCGCTTTGACGATCTGCTCGAAGGTGCAGTCGCCAAGGTTGGTGGGGGAGAGTAGCCTTCTGGCCAGGGACACCACGGCGGTGCCGCAGGAGGCCAGGAGGAATCCCCGCTTCTTGCCTTCGTCGGTGATGTCGAAGAATTCAAGCGCGGACTCGGCGCCCTGGACCCAGGAGGCCCAGTCTTGCGGGCGGGCTGTGTCGAAGGGTGGAAGCAGCCCTAGCCCGGGAGCGGTAGCCATTGTGCGCGCCGGAGGGGGTGCGGGAGGAGCAGTCGAGTTGTTCGATGTTTCGCTCATCGGATCGGCTGCTTCGCGTCCTCCTAGTTCCTCGCAACGGCCCGGCTCAGATGCGGCTAGATCCCACCTTCGTCGCCACTATTGTGTAGTGGGAGCTGCATGGATCGACGACAGACAACGATGTGGTGCATAGCACGCTTTATTAGGCACACAACAAGACATGCATACAAACGGCCGGCAGGCCAACTATATACACACCTGGGGACCACCCCTTGGTCACCATTGGTGGGTTTGAATCTACCGCCATGGCTCCCATTGGTTCCCCAGTGGAGGGACTAGGATCCTAGTCCCCATTGTCTTCCCAGACTGAAGCTCGGGTATATGCGCTGACCTCCGGTGGCGGTCAGTGGACACAACACATCCTTCCCTCCCACACAACTCCCTGTGGCTCCTCCTGCCTCCAGAACACCCCTCCATGGCCCCTTCAAGTCCGGTGCCAGAAAGCAGCTGTCCCTCCCACCTTCTTCAGTCCTGGGGCATCATTTCCAGCCCCCACTTTGGAAACGTTTCTGCACCCTCCCCAGTGACCCCTGTGTAGAAGACTGCCAGATCTGCCATGCCCATGTCCAGAGAAGGACTCAACCCCCCCCACACACTTGTCCTCCTCCATCCTTCGCAGGCACCAACAAAAGGATGCATCTAGTCCAGCATCCTGTCGCACACAGTGGCCTCAACCAGTTCCTCTGGAGGGCCAACAACAGGGCAGAGAGGCCAAGGCCTTCCCCTGAGAAGAACATTGGAAGAGCCCTGCTGGATCAGACCAGTGAGGGTCCATCTAGTCCAGCCTCCTGTCTCACACAGTGGCCAACCAGTTCCTCTGGAGGGCCAATGACAGGGCAGAGAGGCTGAGGATTTCCCCTGAGAAGAACATCAGAAGAGCCCTGCTGGATCAGACCAGTGGTCCACCTAGTCCAGCATCCTGCTTCACGCAGTGGCCAACCAGTTCCTCTGGAGGGCCAACAACAGGGCAGAGAGGCTGAGGCCTTCATAAGAACATCAGAAGAGCTTCTGGATCAGACCAGTGGTCCAATTAGTCCAGCATCCTGCCTCACACAGTGGCCGACCAGTTCTTCTGGAGGGCCAACAACAGGGCAGAGAGGCTGTCTCTCATGTTCCACGGGGCATGACTAAACAGGTAAAAATCACAATAAAACAGTTTCCAGTTGAATGTGAGGAGAAATTTCCTAATGGTAAGAGTTGTTGAGCAGTAGAACAGATTGCCTGGAGGTCTTAAACTAGAGACTAGATAGCCACCTGCCAGGGATACTGAACTTGTATATTTCTGCACTGCGTAGGGTGTTGGCCTAAGAGCCGGCAGGTGCAATAATTGGTGTTGAAGAAAGAGCTGGGAGACCTGGGTTTGAATCCCTCCTGCACCACGAAGCTCCCTTGGTGACTTCGAGTGACTGACTGATTCTGCACCCATCTGTTTCCTTGCAGTTTTTCCACAGCCACATTGTGAGTTTAATCTCTCTCTACATTTCATGCCGCTTTCACTTTCTTTGTTCACTGGGTTTTATGGTACCTTCTGCATAGATTTCTGGCCATTCAAGGGTGACTTTGCAGTCAGTATGGCATTGCCCCATGGTATCTGTAATGATTCCTTGTTTTAAGAGTGTGTGTGTCTCTTTAAATGTTAGGTTGCAGGGCAGTGAATGCAGAGTAGAGTGACTGAGACAAGTGTGCTGTGATTGGAGGATGAGAGAGTGTGGGAGGAGTTTTTGAAGTGGATCTGTGTGAGTGTCAGTCAAGTTATGAAAGTATGAAAGTCAGAGTTAGAGGAGACGGGAAAAAAACCAGTTGATGTTGTTCAGTGGAAATTCAGTCAGTGAGAGAGCTGAAAGAATCTGTGTGGGATCCGAGAAGGATCAGTATATGTGTATTAAAGTGATACAGTTGACAAGCTCATTCATAGGAACCTTATTCCCAACCAGTTACATAATAACTAACCTCTTATTTTGTTCCCCTTTCAATAAATCCTCTCTTTTTTAAATTAATCCCAAAAGTCATATCAATTATTCCTCAGGACCACAGAGACCCTTGAAAGCCTAGACCCTGGGTCACAATACCAACATAAGAAACTGAGAGTGGATTTGGAATTTAGACAATTCCTGGTGGCAGCCTGAACTACCTATTTTATAAACACCCAGTATAATTTAAAGAGAAACCTAGTCCTCCCAATAGGACATCGTCACAGTATCTGAATGTGGTTTTCAGTGGCACCTTTTCCTTCCTCCACTTCGAAGGAAACAATAAGCAGACAACTTGACAGGGCTTCATGGATCTCCGTCAGTTCCCCCACCCCTATTTTCCCCTCTGTATTTATCTCCTTGCCACAAATTACTTGGCTCAGGCAGCTAATGACTGCTGAGGCAAGAACCGACACAGGAAAATCTGCATACCAATGCAGCAGGACGGAGCGTTGAAAACAAAATAGATGGCAAGCTGAAACTAGCCATTGCAGAAACCAGGATCCGAGGTGATGTAATGAAAAAATATATTCTGCGGCAAGGGGGAACCAGTTCAAGTGCTGATAAAATGTGAAGCAAATGCCAGATGCAGAATGGACCACTGCCTCTCATCCTGACCTACTTCATGGGGTCATTTTGAAGATCTAGTTAGAAAAGAAGAACTGCATCTTCATGATGGGTAGCTGTGTTAGTCTGTCTGTAGCAGTAGAAAAAGTCCAGTAGTACCTTAAAACAAACACAATTTGTGGCAGGTGATGAGCTTTTGTGAGTCACTGCTCACTTCTTCAGACACTAGTGACTTTTAAAAGCTCATAAGCTGCCACATTTTTTTTGTCTTTACACTGCTACTGGATTCTTGCTGTTTTCTACTACTACAGACTAACACAGCTACTTTCAGCCAAAGGCTGAAAGAGTTGGGTCTGTTTAGCCTGGGAAAGAGAAGGCTTAGATGGGACATGATTGCAGTCTTCAAGTATTTGAAGGTCTGTCATGTAGAAGATGGAGCAGATCTATTCTCTCTTGCTCTGGATTGCAAGACTAGACCGAACAAGTGGAAATTACAAGAAAGTCGTTAACGGCTAAATATCAGGAGAAACTTCCTAACTGTAAGAGTGGTTAAGCAGTGGAACAGTCTGCCTCGGGAGGTGGTGGGTGCTCCTTCGCTGGACGTTTTCAAGCGGAGGCTGGATGACCATATTTGAGGGTATGTTGTAGGGCTATCTTTTGGCTATGCTCCTGCAGAGTACAGGGGGTTGGACTAGATGACCTGCAAGGTCCTTTCCAACTCTGACATTCTATGATTCTATGGTTCTATTATATCCATCTTGATCTGTCCAAAGAAGTGAGCCATGGAAGTACTTCTTCACCCAAAGAGTGATTAACACATGGAATTCACTGCCACAGGAAGTGGTGGCGGCTACAAGCATGGACGGCTTCAAAAGGGAATTAGATAAGCATATGGAGCAGAGGTCCATCAGTGGCTATTAGCCACAAGGTATAGATAGGGGCTCTGGGGCAAGTGATGCTCTGTCTTCTTGGTGCTTGGGGGGGGTCAACAGTGGGAGGGGTTCTAATGTCCTGGCCCCACTGGTGGACCTCCTGATGGCACCTGGTACTTTTGGCCACTGTGTGATACAGAGTGTTGTACTGGATGGGCCTTTGGCCTGACCCAACATTGTTCTTATGGCTCATGAAAGCTCCTCCCCTGCCATGAATTTTGTTAGTCTTTAAGGTACTACGGGACTCCTGCTCTTTTCTACCACATCTTCATGTGTGTTGTTAACTCTGATGCATTGTCTGATGGATTTTGTCAGCTGCCTGAACTGACATCTTTTAAACATGTGACAGTGGTTCGCTCTTAGAAACAGAACGCTGGACTAGGTTGCTCCTTGTGTGACACATCCTTAGGTTAAATCAAGGCCAAACTCTCAGGTTCATGATGCAAAATAAGATTTATTAGGAAACAGAAGAGATTATTTCAGTGAATGATTTTACAAAGAGGAAATTTAAACAGGCAAAGCATTCACAGAACAGAAACTGGAATGGGAGTGTTCAGCGCATGGAGGGTGCTCAGTGGATTAAAGGCCAAACCTTTACACCAAGGTTTTCTTGATCGCTGCAAATCTGAGTTAAATGGTCCATAAGAATTTAGCAGGGAGAACAATTGTTCCTGGGCCCTAGGATGAGACTGCCTGTGCGGCCCCCAAAGCTTCCCAAACGGCCTCCCAGAGCACCAAAACTACCTCCAGAAAGCCCCCTGCCAAATCCATGTTTAAATCAAAACCAGGAGAGTGATATCATGATAGAAAGGAAGCTTTATTCAGTAATGCAAACAAAGGACAGGAGTGAACAGTATGACAAAGAAGGGCTTTGGAAAAGACAAACTGACATTCGGACACGAACAGCTTCCTAACAAGGAAGGAGAGAAAGGGGGGGGGAGAGACGGATGCCATTTATAGAGTAATCGAAATATTTCAATCAAAAGGGGATACATGAAAGTTATGTCAGGGGACAGGGATGCCGATAGGACCGCTTCCCTCTGTTGATCTGAGCTGGGAGGAAGGCGGCTCAGCAGATCTAGAGCCAGATGCGTATGTTATGCCGTGGATTTCTTGACCATTCTTCTTTGACATTTCAATTGCAGGGGGAGTAGCAGGGGGAGTAGCTGCCACGGCGCCCCACGATGAGGCTGCCTCTGCGACCCCCGAAGCTCCCCAGACGCCCTCCAAGAGAACCAAAACTGCCTCCAGAAAGCCCTCTGCCGAATCCACCATAAAGACCACTGCCTCCAGAAATCACTCTGCCGGGACCGCCATAACTAACAGCACATGGAGTGTTGCCTCCCACGGAAACGGGTTCACCGGTCGCGGAGAGGATGGGTCCGGGGAGGGTCATGACGACGGGAGGTGGCTGAATCACGACTTCTGCAGGTGGGATCTGGTTGATGCAGGAAGGGTTGACCCCTGAGAGGACACCCAGGCTAGCGGAGGGGACCCCAGAGTTGTGGCCGAAACTTGCTGAGCCAAACCCAACGACTGGAGAAGAGGCCGTGGAGGGAACGGCAAAGGATGGTGACCCGTATCCAGTTATGGTGCCAGAATGGAGGCCACCATAGCCGAGACCTGCTGATCCGAAGCCAACGGCTGGAGCGGAGGCACAGGAGGGAACTGCGAAGGATGGTCCACAGTAAGCCATGTCTGAGTGCTAGAGGGTGAGTCTGCAAGAATATAAGAAAGCAGAAAAATATTATGTACAAGAAGCACTGGGAGGCTCAGTATGAAAACCCATCTCCTGGAAAAATGCCTGATAGAATCAATCTCCTTTAAGATACAACACGGAATGTTTATAGAAGAAGTAGCTGAATCTAATGCAAGGAAAAAAAACTAGCAGGGATGGCAGGCACTCATGGAAAATATGTCACCTTCCTAGTGACTACTTGCATTCAAGCCTAAAATGATGGACACCATGAGTGAGGCAACCTAGACTAGCATTTTATCTGGTAGCATCTCATCTGGGTTCCTTAAGAAAAAGTCATGCTGATCGGGTCCATTTGGAATGATGTCTCATCTCGCACAGAGTGGCCAACCATTTGTTCTGGAGGGCCAACAAAAGGCCACGGAGGCTCGGGCCTTCCCCTGATTTCACGTCCTGGCACTGCTATTCAGAGGTTTCATTCCTCTGAATTTGGAGATGCCCTTTAGTCACCATGGTTACGGATAGACCTATTCTTCACAAGACTGTCTAATCCCCCTCAATATCTGAAGAAGTGAGCAGTGACTCATGTATTTTGTTTGTCTTTAAGGTACTCCTGGATCCTTGCACTTTTCTACTGCAACAGACAGATGAACAATGGTGACTACAAGCATTGACAGCTTCAAGAGGGAATTAGATAAGCACATGGAGCAGAAGTCCATCAGTGGCTATTAGCCACAAGGTATAGATAGGAACTCATGGTCTGGGGCGAGGGGTGCTCTGTATTCTTGGTGCTTGGGGGGGCAACAGTGGGAGGGCTTCTAGTGTCCTGGCCCCACTGCTGGACCTCTCTTATGTTCTTAACAATGGCTACTTATCTTGCTCTATCCCCTTCAATAACTGTCTATGCCTGTGGATATCAGTACGTCTTCTGGCAGAAAATTGTGGCAGAAAGTCTCACAAACTGGCTTATAATCAGGGCTTCCCCTCCCCCTTCTTCTAGGGGAATGCACTGGAATGGAGTTCTGGCATCTCTTCGACAAAATTATTTTCATATGGAAGAGTGGGGAATCAAACCCAGTTCACCAGATTAGAGCCCACTGCTCCTAAACACTACACCAAACAGTATCATCAACATGAACCATTTCTGCAGGTAACTCAGGTCAAATCTGTAATACAAATGCAAAAATCTGTAATACAAATACCAAGCTAACCCAGAGGATGGCAGAAGACAGGGGGGCCTGGCGTGATGTTGTCCACGGGGTCACAAAGAGTCCGACTCGACTGTGCAACTGAACAACAACAACGAAACCCCAAAATATTTAAAGGAATTGTAGTGTGGTGAGGGTTATGGGAATCCGGGCAGAACCCCCCAGCTAATTTCAAGGAATGGTAGTCCCCAATGTAAACCCCAGCACAGGAAATGGAGTGGGATAGAAATCCAATCAACCAACTAACTTTATGAGAAAGAATGACCAAAAAAACCCCCATAAGAACATAAGAGACGCAAATGTTGGATCAGGCCAAATGGCCCATCCTATCCAACACTCTGTCACACAGTGGCCAAAAATACCAGGTGCCATCAGGAGGTCCAGCAGTGGGGCCAGGACACTAGAAGCCCTCCCACTGTTGCCCAGTGAAATGGTTCAAATGTCTAATATAAACATGTCTAAAAGGCATGCTTATGATGAGAAATCCATAGCAAAGTCATGACTGGAGAGCCTTCAGAAATGCCAAAGGGTTTGATCTATGGGGGTTAATTCCATAGAGAGATTTTTCAGGAAGGAGCACTAATGTAAGACTATTGGGTCCGGCATACAAAATCTGCACGTACAATCTTATTTCAGCAGCTACAGTTGGATTTGGCTTTCGCCAAACTTACCTGATTCTTGGAGAAGTCAAAGGCAAGCGAGTGAGAGAGATGAAGCTGAGCTACTGGGGAGGTACAAGAGCTTTTATACTGACTTTGTTGCATTCTTTTTGATGTAGAGATCTGAATTAATCACCTTCACAATGTGTCGGTTTAATCATATCCAAAATTAGTTTTGCCGCTTCAAAGCCGTTTAATCAAGGGATGATGCTGTCATCAGTTTGCTCTAATGATTGGACTCCATGATCTTTTTTTGTTTCCCAGCTAATTTTCTGCAGCAGGTTTTTACTGAGTAAACACAATCCCCCCCCCAATGCAATCCCCGTTCAACTTGGAGTGACTTGACTTCTTTGTAAACATGAGCGATGCCTATGGAATTTGTAATGTATCCAGTCCAGACAAGTCCAGACAAGTCCAGAGACAAACGTCGAGCTTCTCTCCAAGAGACAATGGACTATGCGGATCCTAGCCCACTCCAATCAGGGGGCTAGGTTCCTGGCCGAGAGCCAGTGAGACTCTCGGCCACTGTAAATAACCTATTGGGAAGTGGGTGTGTGTTTGGGGTGGCGGTTTCTTGGGGAATATAAGCCGGCCTGTGAGCCAACCAAAGTCATCTTGTTCCTGATGGAATAAAGTACGCTTTGCTGAAATCACTCTGTTTGCGTACTATTCAGAATTCGTCCCTGCCGAATTTATCATTTGAAGCAGCCACATCATAAAGTACATTACCACAGTCTTAGAAGTTCTACAATTATCATGACTGAATCTGTGATTCCTTTTTCACCCTTTGCTTTGCTATATTTGTCATTCAGCAATGTACCTTCATAGAATCATAGAATCGTAGAATGTCAGAGTTGGAAGGGACCTTGCAGGTCATCTAGTCCGACCCCCTGTTCTCTGCAGGAGCATACCAAAAAATTAGCCCTACAACATACAGGAAAGATGGTCATCCAGCCTCCGCTTGAAAACGTCCAGTGAAGGAACATCCACCACCTCCCAAGGCAGTCTGTTCCACTGCTCAACCACTCTTACAGTTAGGAAGTTTCTCATGATATTTAGCCAGTAACGACTCCCTTGTCATTCCCACCCATTGGACCTAGTCTTGCAATCCGGAGCAAGAGAGAATAGATCCACTCCATTTTCTACATGACAGCCCTTCAAATATTTGAAGACTGCAATGATGTCCTCTCTAAGCCTTCCCTTTCTCAGACTTATATTCAGATAATAATTTCTTAAGGTTTTGTGATTTATAAAGAGAAATCACTCAACATGGAACTTTTATTGTTGTTTCTTAAATAGTTTTGTATTGTTCTTCCTTGTCCCATACAACATACCTAGGGCACCTTCCGCAAAAACAGAACCATAAGATGAAAAAAGTAAATTATTTTATACTTATACTTTTCTGATAATCCTTTCTTTTAGCTGTAATCATATCAAGAAGCATCCATATATAACTTCGGGGACTATGTTCACTAATTATTTCCAATAATACAACCTTGGGATATAGGGGAATATGTGATATGATAAATTCCTTCAAGAATCTTAGACCCGATTAGCTTCAAAGAGGAGCCATGTGATCTGCAGTAAAAGATTTAGATTCAAGTCCAGTAGAACCTTAGAGACAAACAGGATTTGGGGTATATAAGCTTTTGAGAGTATCTAATAGAAGGGGCTTTGACTCTCCAAAGCTGCTATGCCAATGATTCACTGCCAGAGGAGGTGGTGGCAGCTACAAGCATGGATGGCTTCAAGTGGGAATTGGATAAACATATGGAGCAGAGGTCCATCAGTGGCTATTAGTCACAAGGTATAGACAGGAACTCTCAGTCTGGGGCAAGTGATGCTCTGTATTCTTGATGCTTGGGGGGGGGCTTCTAGTGTCCCGGCCCCACTGGTGGACCTCCTGATGGCACCTGGTATTTTTGGCCACTGTGGGACAGACAGGATGGGCCATTGGCCTGATCCAACATTGGCTTCTCTTATGTTCTTATCTAAGGTGCTACTGGGTTCAAATCAAGCTATATCCTTTCCAATACTCTTATACTGTTTTCTTTAGTGGTGGCAGGCATGACAGTAGCACACTACAGCACCAGAGGAGGGAGAGCCTGCACCTGAATAAAACTTGGTTTTAAAAATGCCACTGGATTGTTTTGGACCGGGTGGCCGGGGGGAGCTCTGCAACTTACCTGGCTGCTTCTTGCTCTGGCTGAGGGCTGCTGGGAGCAGGGGGTGGGGCTTGTTGCATGTGCCCACCCCCTGGACTCTTTACTGCGGAGCTCCGCTCCTGTGTGCTCCTACGGGAAATGACCCCTGTATATGTGTGTGTGTGTGTGTATGCTCCCTCAGCTGTGGAGTCTTGTGAGCAAAAATTCTACTTTGCGAGCTACTGGCATTAAAGCTGTGAGCAAGAGATTTGGCTACTGCATAAATTAGTTTGCTCTGGAGCCATCTTTCCTGAACTAAGACAAAAATGTGTGAGCTGGAGGCTAAAAAACTGTGAGCTGGCTCACACTCACTCAGCTTTGAGGGAACACTGATATATAACCGATATAAAAATAAATCTATGTAAAAAATGCAGTCATACGTAATAAAATAAGAAAGGAGAACATAAATCGGAGACTACTAGGGAGCTATTGTTCCGTATTTGATCATGTGTATTGAATGTCATAACATGCCATCCAGGATTTCCCCACAGACTCAGTAACTGTCCGGTTTCCATCGATGAACAATCGGTTACACTGCTCAGCACCTGTTTGTTCCACCATATCTATTATGAGTGGGATAATATATTTGCCACAGATCTTTATTTATTTATTTATTTAATTTCATTTATACCCCGGCCTCCCCGCGTGCGGGCTCAGGGCGGCTTACAACCGTAGGGCACAAAAGGGCAATAAAATACGATAAAACACAATTTAAAACAATTTATACATGGGAACACCCAAGGATCCCGCGTGACTGGACAACCCACTCTCCAGTATTGCACAACCCTATCCATTCGAGGGGAGGTTACTGTGGCCCCCTGATATTATTAGCCACTTAACCACTTGGTATACTGGTTATATCTGAGCATCATGTGCTCGATCGTTTCTATCTCCTCTGTGGAATCTGCTGCCAGAGAATGTTGTGATGGCCACAGGAATAAACAGCTTTAGGAGCAGGTGAGGCATATTTGTGAAGGAGAAGTCTATCAGTGTCTGCTAGCTATGGTGGCTGAGGCAAGGTTGCTAGGTTTGACCATCACACCAGTGGAGGCATGGGAGGGGGCTGTTCCGGGAGTGGGCGGGGACATCACACGATGCACATCCCTAAGGATGGGGAATTGGTGGCACATGGCCAAAAGATAGGAACAAGCTGATGGTTTCAAATGAGGAAGGGTGGAATGGGTGCAGCACCTGAGACCGGAAAGGAGGGGTAAAGCTAGAATTGGGTTCATGCCACTGTTAATTTATAGTTTATAAAGTGTGCTGTGTGAGGCTGGCCAATGCTGAGAGTAGCTAGTGTTGCCTCTTGATAATGGGATAACAACTGCACAAGCATCAGAAGAAGAAGAAAGATTGCTGGCAAAGCCAAGAAGGGAGTCTAGGCTCTTGTTCACATAAAGATTCTATCTTTTTATGGCTCCTGGAAGTCACGGTGACTAACAAAGACAAATCTTGCTTTGATGCACACTTTGATCTTCAGACACGACTTGACAATGAGGCTTGTCAAATTCAGGAAATAGCTTGTGTTTGAGGTCAGTACAGTGCTGCATCATCCATTAGGACAGGATTTTTTTTTTTTTAAGGGAGATGAGTTCTAGATTATGAATGTGTTTGTTTTTTTAACTGTGTCAAGTACATTCTATAGTAAAGACAGATCAGAATGTCAAAAGTGCATTGAAACTAGGAATGTGTGGACACTCATAAGAACATAAGAGAAGCCAATGTTGGATCAGGCCAATTGCCCATTAGTCCAACACTCCGCCACATAGTGGCCAAAGATACCAGGTGCCATCAGGAGGTCCAGAAGTGGAGCCAGGACACTGGAAGTCTTCCCACTGTTGCCCCCCCCCAAGCACCAAGGATACAGAGCATCACTCGCCCAAGCCTGAGAGTTCCTTCCTATACCCTGTGGTTAATAGCCACTGATGAACCTCTGCTCCAGATGCTTATCCAATTCCCTCTTGAAGCCGTCCATGCCTGTAATCACCGCCACTTCCTGTGGCAGTGAATACCATTTGTTAATCACTCTTGGGGTGAAGAAGGTCTTCCTTTTGTCCGTTCTAACCTGACCACTCAGCAATTTCATGGCTGAGTTCAGACTGAAGTGGGAGGGAGTCGTGGAAAAAAGAGCCGGAGCAAACTGTTCCGGGTTTTCCCGTTCATACTGCAGCGACTGATGCGGGAGCAAACTGGGAGGCGGTGCAAGGGAGTGTTCACATTGTTGGCCTGGAGGCACGGCTGTAAGGGGTGGTTTTCTTTTTTTTGTAATTGGGAGATTTGTGCTCATGCGCATAAGCGTATAAGAAAAATGTGGCTTTTGGTGTTCACACTTTGTTGGTACGGGATGGATGCGGGATAATCACACTTTCCAGGGTTTGTTACCACTTTCACCAGGTAACTTTTAAACTCGGGAGCGAAGCGTTACAAGGCAGGTTGAGTACAGGTGGGGAACGCCTGACAGATATGCCTGTGTGAACAGCCCATTTAATCCGGTTGTGGGATGTTTCTGAAACGTGCGCATATCAGGGCAAACTGCCAGTCTGAACTCGGCCATGGAGTGCCCACGAGTTCTTGCATTGTGAGAAAGGGAGAAAAGCACTTAATTCTCGACCTCCTCTATCCCAGGCATAATCTTATAAACCTTGATCATGTCACCCCTCAGCCGTCGTTTCTCCAAGCCTGACTGAAGAGTCCTGCTTGTGGCGTGTGAAGTGAAAGGATTCCTCTTTGATTGATTGATTGTTTGGTTGGTTGGTTGGTTGGTTGACTGATTAGCCACCTTTATTCCTTGCAGGCAGGTTACCAAAAAAATGCAGAAAACACTTAGAATAAAACACATACAAAGAATATAAAACATAATGGATAATACATTCCTTTT